AAATTCCTGAATTTTGGCGCCAATAATTTTGGGACACCCTGTATGTATGTCACTATTATTTTGGATGATTAATTAATTGAAGAATTTCATGGGGGTGACAGAGGTTCTTCTATCATTTCCCACTCTCCCTTCACAAATAACAAAAAGTGGTCTCATTTCGTATCGATGATGGATAGCTGACAGATTGATTGAAACTTTCATTTGAAATTTCTCAGCGTTATTCCTAGATAAGGGAAAAAAAGGATTCAGCCGGTGGAACTGAAGGAGTAAAAGGTGAGGAAGACGCCCAAGAAATGTCAGATCGCTAGTCACTGGACTCAGTCAGCAGTCCTTGTAGCAGAAGAAATCTGTCAAGCAAATATTAAAAACTCTTTCCTATTTCCTTTCTCAACTCCGTTTTACTGATTAACTGCGAAGCCTCACGATTCCTGAGTGCCATACCAGAAAAAGTACCATAAAAACCAGTCTACATAGGTACTACAACATAAAATACGTCAAAATTCCGTCAAAACCAAATGGCCGACAAATGTTTCCGCTGAACAAGCTGACAAGAAGTACTGCGCTATAAAAGCTTCGCTTGATTACTGAGAAGCCCTTGTTCCGTCCCTAGCAAACAGCTGACCATCATCTGAGATCGACAGGGAAATGCTGTTTTTACTCAAAAGACCGAATCCGAGTCAAAAATGTAACATAAATATTTCAAATACCGGAGGTTTTCGGATGAATCAACCAGGTTCATCTGTCCTGTTGTGAAGTGGAAATACTATAATCGGGTAATACATGTGTGCTCCAGTGATTTAAAATTGAAAAAAGGCTAAGACAGGAAAAAGGAGCTGAGGCAACATTCCAACCCTTGGGCTTACTTGCGTGAATTTTCTTTAATCCCTTCCTCAACCAACTATTCAGACCGCTTATTCTAGTTTGATCAAAACCATTTGAGCACAATATTCTGAGGGTTACATAGTTGGAGAAGCCAAAGGATTTTACTGATAATTCCATTTTTCAAAGGAAAACAGAAGGTATACTTCAAAATTCGCAAAAAGAGCTATCGCCTGGGTTGGGTGACGTTCACAGCCAAAGCTGTCAGCTAATTGTTCTAGTATTATTACTCAGAAAGAGAAATTTCCTAGATGCCCAGATGGACACCTTGCTCATACAGTAACCCGGCTATAGGTCTTAGCTCTAAAGCCTGATTATGAGGCAACACCCTACCACCTTACCGGACACTTTTTTTATGTGTTGTACATCTGACGGGGATGAGAGGAACTCTCTGTGCCTTGAAATGGCAACGTGTCCATTGAACGAAACATGCTCGGAACACTTCTGTGTCTGTTGCATTTTATTTTACGATTATTTCTTTGTGGGAGGAAGGCTCCTGATTTTTTGTGCCTAATTTATCTTTTCAAGTTCGACCGTGGCTCCACAATGTCGCATCAACAGGCTCATTTGAAAGCGTAACCTGGCGAATATGTCACTTACAACGCGACTTCCAGACTTTCAGAGTTGTAGACCTTGATAGTCAATAACTTCGTTTGTCAAGGTCTACAACTTTGGACCTCTTCGCTCATCATGAGGAAGTAATCCTAAACACAACTAAGGATACATTCATCCTTCTGCTGCCCTCATTCCACCTACCCCATGTCGAAAACTTGGGACTGTGCAACGTTGCAGAGCGGAGAACGAATAGTGTAGTTCACTCTCGAGAATAAACAGAACGAGAGCTTTTCGAAGGTATTAGTTCGGGCAGTCGAGTATTGCCCAGCTCAGGCTTTAGCCGACCCTTTCAACCCACCTTCAGATGCTGACTATGTCCCTTACCCGACCCCTTCTCAGTAGATGCCGATTCCCCCGCTTTCAGTTCAAAAAATACTGCCCAAAGATTAGGCCAATGAGTCTATATACGGTATTTCTCTGATTATTTTTAGGCTAAATATGTCTACCAAATTACCGGATAGAAACCTGGGAAAATAGGCACGAGGGGGTTCAATAGCACCCGAGCTTTCACTTCGGACCAAAACAAGAATATCGGTAATACCTAACCTGAACCCGACAGGAATCTTCGGCTGCGGTTCTGGTAACTGTTGTAGCTCTTGAATTACTGGCGTAGCCGAATCGGTTCCGTCGTCCAGCAACGATTTTGCGTAAAGAATCGACTGACATTCTGGTTCTGTCGTCGAACTCAACTCAGAGAGCCACTGCTTTTGGCAGTCATCCAAACGTGGGAAGTGACCGGTGTGCTGAATAAAGTGATTATAAAGATGGTTTTATGCCACAAACTTAGGAACTTACCGGTTGACACTGATCCAGGTAATCATTGCCTTCCAGTGAATCCCAGTATCTTGCAATCCCTGTTGGCATCGCCTGATTACCGTCGCATACACTGTAACAGTGAAATATACAACTCTAGAAAAACTGGAAACCGATCAGTCGAATAGGCCGAGGTCACCTTGAACGGCAAACAGGAAAAGAAATGCGAGAGTGAGAACGATTGAAAGAAAAGAAAATCCTCCCCCAAAATGAAGATGACCAATGATGATGATGTCGATTAACACATATCACAAGATCGGCTGTGATAATGTCGCAAACAAGTGGGATGGATGAAATCGAAATGGATAAGGAGTGGGAGAGAGAGAGTTGGAGCGATATGATGAGACTGGGTGTAGAGATCGTTGCCTAGACGAGAGTTACGGGACAGTACGATTCGAAGACACTGTGCATGCTAATGGACGCCGACGATCGGTAATGATTGATCACGTAGGCGCATGAAAACTCGCCAAATCCGTGATAGTGATAATGAGGGTGTGTTCATCAACGCACAGCAATCACAACAATTTCAATTGATATTTCAGATATGCGATCATCCCTACAATGATAAAAGCATGATTAAAATTGGTTAATAGACAAATAAAAAGCGGCAAAAAGTGCCCTGGTCGGTACTTTGTGGGTTACAGTGGCTGATTTCCAATGATAGCTTGAAGAGAAGTTAACTTTTTAGCTACAACTACTATTCTAGGTATAGGGACAATTGAAAAAAAGCAAAAACCCTTTCTCTGATCTCAAAATGTCTTACCGTTAACTTACCTAAGCTGTATTTGTGACGTTAATCATTATGTCGACAGGTAAAAATGGTGAGCTTCAATGTGATGCCCTGGAGTTACGGTAATCACCATTTCTAGTGAACTTTTGAAGTTCGCGATCAATATATTGATTGATAAAGGGGTGCGGACTTTCGCTATGTAAATATATTAATAATTAAATGAAAAGTGATCGAATGTAACGCAACAATTCGGAAAAGTGTATCACTTTTGCTGAATTCAGAGAGTTACAGTAATCACAGAATTCAGCGACATTTCGAATACATACCATACAATAAACAAAGGAAATCTCCCTGACATTCTCAAGAAGCTATAGTGATTCCACATAACATGGCGTAGCTATCGATATATCGACCAGTCGAAACGGGCCTGATTCCGTCTATCTTTTCTTTATTCTTTATTTGGTACATTATTTAAGACAAGACAACGTTTAAAATGTAACAATCAACAAAACAAAAACAAAACTGGGACAACACTGAGCAAGAGAATAAGTGAAGGTGGCAACTACGTTTGGAGGATGTGCGCTGCTATAGAACGTTCGAATGAAGCCAAAGAGTAGTAGAGTGAGGAAGGTCGTCTGGCCCTCAAAAATGCAAGACCAGCTCTCACTGTAAAGAAATTCCGTCTAATCGTCGTCTTTGGTCTTAAAAAGGAGATTTTGAGTTGATCACCTCTAGTTTTCGACGGTATAAGTGTGGAGAAAGAGGAAAAAGCAATATCACATTTACGGTTTAATAGCTTGTGTAACATATCTAGGTCGAAAAAATTGACTGAAATTGACTGAAGGGTGGGCAATTCAAAATACTAGTTTCTTATAGCAGCCTTGGGGATTTTGGAATAAAGAAACCCGGCACGGCGAACGAGCACTTTCCTGGCATAGTTATTTTGAACCCTCTCAATAGGAGCAATGTCTTTCTTTCTGGCCGGGCAGTATATCACTGTTCCAGTTTCAACCAGGGGTCGCACGTAGGTCTTATACACCTGTATACTTGTATGAGGACCTTGGTATCTTTGGTTGTGAGCGCCTGGAATATGTTATAAGTGCGATAGACAGCAGAACTGTAAACATGCTTATAATGAGAGGTGGAGTCTAGCTTATCACTATAGCGGGATTCTAACCAATAAGTCCCTAACCTGTATACACTTTGTAATATCTTCCCCATTCATGAGATAGGCAGTGTTTATGCGCGAGGGTCCAATATGCATACGGTCTTGATCTTGTAGTTGTAACCATAATTGTTTATTGCACAGGTTAACACCCATGCTGAAATAATGAAAAGTATAAAAACCCGGAAGTAACGAACAACAGTTCCTAGGCAAACTAAAATTAACTAGGAGTCACAAGAGCGAAAGAAAAAGAAAGAAGAAAAAAAGAGAGAAAAACAGTCTTAGGGTGTTTCTGTAATACAATTGATTCCAGTTGAGAATTTAGATGCCTAATAAATTTATCGATTGGGATTATCGGAATACTTCAAGCAAATTGAATTTTTTCATTAGTCGTTGGTTTATACTAAGATTTTGATTGACAATTGGTGCGACTGCAGAACTGTGAGCATTTTCGTTGCCATTTGAGGATGTTACAATAACCCTACCTTAAACGGTGACGGATGGACTGAAATTATTTGCCCGATTACTCAATTAATATTGTCGTAAGGAACACTTGCTGTTTTCGCAGTATCATCCGGATGGAACGTAATGAATCAAATGGCAGAGGCCGTCTGATGGCTTGTCGCCCAGCTGTCGTCTCTTCGTACTCACACCTTTTTAATCTATTTACCCAGACGCACAGCAGTCAAGTCTAACCTGCCACGACTCATTGACTTGGGATCAAAA